TTATATTTGAGGTATGCTGTAAAATCCATGAAACACTTATGAATATACAGGAATCATAAGCTGTATCTATAGTGTTTCCCTATGATTTTTATAATTTTTATGACTCCCTTTCCTGGACACAGCTCTATTGCTTCCTGTTAATGGTCTATAACATTATTTGTCTTTGCCTTAGTTCTGGAGCCAGCAAAGTTACTCAGTGAAGCAGGTTCTCTTAAGGTGGCAATGAGTAACAGTGATGGCAGGCTCATTTTTGTAAATGTGAAAACTAACACATTCTGAGAAGTCTTTCCCCTCACAAAGACTTGATCACTTCTGACCACTGCTTGGCTATCTGTAAAATACCTTAGGAATTTTGCTTAATCGTCTGTGCTGGGCTGTCATCTCAGATGGTGAAATTAATGATCCTTTTCAAAACTAGAGAGGTGCCATCAGAGAGTAAATTGCAGCAAAAATACAAAGAAGCCCAAATACAAAACCATGCGGTTATCACCAAGGTTGTGTCCAAACTTTAGGAGGTGTTATACTGCAGGGGAATTATATTTTCTAGAGCAACCACAAAAGTGAAGTAAACAGTCCAGCTAAGCTCACCACCTCTGCTATGGTTCTGGGAGCCAGCTATGCCAGCTGTAACACTGAGGCAAAGATGCTTTGACTAACATCAGTGCTGACAATAAAAGAACAAAGAATTCTCATGAAAGCCAGAGCCACTATATTAAAAGAAATAAATTCAATTTTAAGCATACAGTTTGAAAGTCAGAACACGATTAGTCAGAACAATTATCAAGGAAACATTAATGGAAAAAGTTATTTAGCTGGGTTTAGGCAGAGTTACAAAGTTCTTGTACAGGCTCTGAGATTAACAGATCTGGCCTAGATTTTTCTTTTTTCTGAAATAACAACCACATACAGTAATATTTACAATACTTCAGAAAGCTAGGACATTGTGAAAGTAAGAGAACATCCATGTGTCTAAAGCATAGAGTCTTGTGAATATTTCACATATTAGAAAGAGATGTGTTTTTCTAACTGGATCAGACCTTTTTTAAAAGTCCAAGACATTCATGGATGTGGTCAGACTCGTGGCTGGTTACATTAATCAAACTTTTCAAATCTTGTCTCAGTGCAATAAGTTGGTCATATCATTGTAAATTTTAGTATCAATATAAAATATAAAGAAGACATAATTAAACTTTATTTCAAAGAAATGTGCTGGCATTTTCAGAACAAAAAAGGTTTTTCAGGGCATTATAACATTTTGTATTACATTTAAAAAGCATATTTACATAAGTTTTTAACTATGATGGCCAGCAAAAAAAAAAAAAAAAATTAAAAAAATTTCTGTATGCCTTTGGAAGTCAGATGAATTATCTAAGTCTGTTTAGAAGCTGAGTGTTATCCAGTCAAACATGTATAATTATTGCTTAATAGTAATAATAATAATAGATGGATATAATCTCTACCAAAATAAAAACTGCAACAAAACAAAAAAAGTATTTCCTCAGTGGACACTTAGAAGTGCTCTTGCACATATTAACTTATACACTAAACTAGCAATTAGTTCAGATCACAAAATTGTGGTTGTTAGCTGATTCAATTAAAGATTTAAAAAATTGAGAATAATTTATAATTTGTTCACATTTAAAATGTAACTGGTACATGAATGAGTTTTCTTATACTGTTATTCTTATTTTTGGCTTGTGATATTTATGATGAAAGATCTTCCTGTTAGACCAAATATGGAAGAATGCAGGGTATGTGTCTTCTAAATGAATAAATAAAAAATTTTAAAAAACTATGTGGGCCTATTTACCTTTCAAACTCAACATATTCTTGGCCATCTGTTGCTTATAACATTGATTTTCATTCCTTTTGGCATCATACCTGCTAAAGTCAGTTCATATTAATGTCAGAGATGTCACATAAAGAATAAAAAATGTGTCTGCATTTCAGCTACTGAGGCTGCGGAGGAAGAAATGCAATATAAAACCAGCAGATACTTGAATCCACCTAAAGAAACTCCATCTTGTCTGTGTTTCATGGGTAGCCTTCTGTTTCTATGTCTATGAAGAGTTAATGGCTGAATCAGGGTAGGAGCGTTCAGAAGTTGTTTATTTTGAAGGTAACTATGCTATTATGTAGCTCATGGTCCAATGATCGGTATGCAAGAAGACTGGTGACAGCTGTGGTGTACTGTGACAAACAGTGAAGTGACATGCTGATTGACCTGTGAGCCCAGTGGAGAAGCCAGTTAATACCAGTAAAATTCATGACGTGTTTCTTTCTGCCAGTTTGGTTGACATGCCATTGATACATGCTGGAGAGATAATGTCATTAACCAAGCTGTACTGCAGTATCTGCCGCTTCCACAGACCTACCAGTGACACCCATGGGTAAGATGGCATTTGGTTTATGTAGCTAATGAAAAACTGATCAGTTGTTTCTCGGCAGTCACCAAGTAGTTTCTCAGCAATCTTGCAAAGATGAAGAAATGTGTGCTCACACAGTTGTAGGCTGTCATCCTTGCACATTAAACATGCATTGACCTGGTTTACTTTAATATGTGAATGTCAAGCTTCTGTTCCCCAATCACTGATCTATGCAGCAGAGTTGACACAACACAGTTTCTATATGTACTAGCCAGAGTTATCCCCTTTTCTCTCTACTTGCCTCTCTGCACCAACCTGTCAACAATTTCCTGAAATTCAGCTATTTCTTCTCTCAAGAGGAAATGAAACCTGATACATAATAACATAGGGAATGAAATTACACATGATGCTGCAGGAGTGAAAACCACAGAAAACCAAGACAAACAAATCTAGCAGCGATAAGCAGCACACCTACCTTAATTAAACCCTCCCTTATGTTTTCTTCTTTATTGGGATAGACTAATTTAGTAACTAATTCTGATTTCAAGAAAGCCACCAGAAAAATCTCTCACTGACTGCCAAAACACAATCTAGCCCACTGTTTTTCCTGCCTGTTTTCTTTCATATTGCCTAAAATTAATCATATACACCAGCAGAAGAACAAAATGTGAAATCACATGATTTTCACAGCAGATGAGAACATTCCATCTCTTTAATAACAAGATGTTTTAGAGGAAGTGCATAAAAAAATCACCCTTGCAGCAGCATTTCTGGGACAAAACAACAGGAGTTTTCATTTTCAGAATCAAATTCCCCAGGTGACTGGACTCCCAACATTTCCATAAAAAAACCCTGAGTCATCAAATTTAGACCACAAAACTGACTGCATGCATGGAATTTAAGATTACCTGTTTTTCCCCAGTTACATTTTTGTCAAACACCCATTGGCTAACACTCTCACACATGGAGCTTTCACATCACTTTAAGCCTCATCTGTATTGCTTTCATACTTACTTTCAGAATTGGATATTATAATTTTCCCTCTAAAGGTCAAATTGCTGAATGAAATTTGTTTGGGCAGAATCTCAGAAGATAAGTGTGCAAAACTGTGTATCCCGAGTTGTCTGGCTGAGATAAAGAGCAATGGAGTTCCTTTTGGCCTGTAAACGTGTTATGGCAGATAACTTCTAAGATAAACCTCATTTGATGTGGAAAGGGTTGGAACAAACCAAATGTGTTTAAACAATGATTATGGACTTTCAAGACTCCTACTGAAGTCAGAAAACATTTTGTAGTAGAACAAAAGACTGCCCTAAACTCAGTAACTGGTTGAGGAACAAAAGTGTGAGTATGAACCTGTTGGAAAACCACTGTCACCACTTTGCCTATGTGCTGAGACTCAAGATATTACCATTGCAATGCTGGGCCTCTGTTCTCCTTATTCTGAAAATCTGGTTAAAATGAAGAGTTACTTTCGTCTCCATCAGGGGTGGATAAATCATAAGCAACATCTAAGAAATGAAGTTCCTGCTCAAATGAGCTAAAATCTTCTCTTACCTTATTCTTTCCACACTTTCCATTTTCTGTTCTCCACCAAAAAGAAGAAAAGAGCAGAAAACATTATTGTCCCTCAATAGCACTGCTGACTTACTCCTTTTTCCCCAGGGGTCTGACAAAAGGAAGAAACTGAAGGGAGAAAATTTGGAGGGAAGGGCAGCTAAGATAAGAGGGGGATGAAGAAAATCATTGTGGGAGTCTGAAGTAGCAGAGCAAGCAAGGGAAACATTGAATTTGTTACGAGCAACTCAATGTAGCAGGAGAAAAAACATGCATGTTTTGGACAGAGAATATATTATTCGTTGCAACGATATTAGAAAATTTACTCAGCTTCAGCATAAACATCTGATCTGTGGTACAGTGGTATATACATTCAAAAGCAGTATGGGTGACTGCAGCCTCTTCCTCTGACCTGGATAAAAGGGCTTGTGTTGTACAGCTTGGCAACATGGTAGATTTTCCAGGCTTCCAGGGGATGTTAGTTCAATCACTACTGAATTCATTTCAGTAACTTTTCTGCTGTGGGCATGAAATGTCTGTAAATACTACTTTTTCTATATCTGTTCCTTGGGGAATCCTCCAGGCCCAGTAAAGGAGCCACCATCATCACAAGTTGTTGTATAAAGGATTAGGAGAGCATGCGTAAAATGGCATGGGAATATGGGAATGAAAGAGTAAAGAAAACTAGAAGAAAATAGCCAAGCTGTGAGCATTAATATTCTGAAATACTCTTTTGAAGGGAGGAGGAAGAGTGAATTAAAATTTTGGACTAACATATTATATCATTTCTGATAGCATAATTAGAGAATCTGAATAAACAACAGTTTTCTTTGTTGGGGGTAAAGGGAAAATAGTTTTATTTTTCAACTTCAAAAGTAAATTGATCATCTTCTCTGTAATGTTCAAGGTTAGCTCTTTTAGCATTCAGTCAAAACCAAAAGTTCTTATTTCAAGAGTGTTTGAAGAGCTTTTAGAAATAAGAAATACCAGTATTGCCTCTGCTTTCAAGATATCACAGAACAGTTGCTAAATTACAAAAACATTATCACCAAATAAGCTAGAATTTTTGGAGCTTACCTTCCTACGATGGGATGGCACAATAAAATAAGTTTCAATATTATGCTTCTTCAAGAAACTATTCCTTTCATGACCATATCCTGGTTCTACCTCATAGTCCCCGTTTAGGCACTCTAAGGTGGTCTTTGTAATGTGAACTTTCCTGGAGAGAAAAATCTTGCATTGTTATTTGAAGCAAAGATACATTATGAGCTAGTTGCTACTGAAATACACTCTTGCACAGAAGATCATCAAGAGGTCAAATCACATGCAAACCCCTATTTTTTATATAAAAATAAAGTTTTGTTTTGTCTTTTCAGCCAAATAGAACATAGACATATTTCTATTAATTACATGCATTTTCTAAACTTGAAGAGAGTGAACAAAAAGATAACTGTTGACTGTCCAAACACTTGCAGATTTGTTGATTTGTAGAAAGTGGAAATCTGCACATCATCTTCCACTGGCTTTTTTAAGATTTTACCTCACTGCCTGCTTTGAGAAACATGCTGCTGTTTGAAACTTGTGACTTCACACTCCAAATCTCTCCTACATAAAGGAGAAACTTCTTTTTCTGTTCCCCTTCATGTCTCTGACTCATTTCGTTTACTCTGTTTTCTAGGCAGCTTTCTAATTCACGTTGTTTTGGCAGCACAGCCATCTTTGACACTATTTGTGAGTTGTCTTATCCTAAAAACTGTCTTCATATTTTCTCCCGAAAGACCCCTTGTAGTTGAAATGTCTTCACAGAAGGTATCTGAAAAGCTATTACTGCTTTCCTCTATTAAACATGTTCAGATTTTTTTTGCTGGAAAGCCTTAAGATAAGGAACATACAAAATACAGTGCCAAAACTCTCTAAGGCAGAATAACCTAAGAAACAGAAATTCACTCATCTTGACCATAAAAATTAAGAGGTTCCATTGTCCCCCTGTTCAGCAAATCATGATCTTTTAAAAATCCAGCAGAGGATGGTAGGTTCCAGTACAAATTTCAGTTGCACACAGAAGCACACCCATGTACCTTTTGAAAGTGCAGTGTGCATTTAAATCAGATCCAAGGCTGTCCAAAGAGTACTTAAAATTCCAAGATGTGGCCCATGGATTGGCTGCAGATTTATGTGCTACCATATCATTGGCACACACACCATCAATATTTGAGTACATAAACAGGTATTTTTTTTCTATAGCACACGTAGTTTTGGAAATCTTGCCATGTAAAAGGAGTAGGGCACCCCACCACCGTGTGTAGAGGTGCAAGGGTAAAAATGTCCTGGAATAACTACAGGGTTTTACTTTTATAACCTGAAATGGCACAAGTCTAGCATTCCTACATTCCTAGCATTGCCTCATTCCTACTCTTTGTATTTGGCAGCTTCTAATAAGGAAATGTATTGCTTCTAATCTAACCTATTACTAACATAAATATCAAGACTGTTTGGAGAATTCCATGGGATAAATCACATAATACATTGATTGCTCTTACTTAACACAACCCTTCTTATCAAACGCAATTCCAACGCAAATGCCTCAAAGGCGGCAATAAATTCTTCACCCAGACAGGTTTCCATTTCTTTTTCTGTGGTTCTTTCTCAGACTTACCCAGGCAGTCCTCCAGCTTCCATTACATTAGCTAAAGTCACATCATTTGACCAGACATCATATTGCCATTTTCGGAGACCCAGGACCCCACAAAGCACCCTGCCTGTATGCAATCCAACTCTCATGTTGAGATCAACCTCTGTAGCTTCTGCAACAGACCTGGAATAGACAGCATCAGAATATTAGTCTTTAGGCAGTAACACTGCCCTTGATTTGCATTACATTTAATAAAATAAAAAAAGAAAAAAAGAAACAACAAATCAAGTGTAGTAAATGGCTTTGTCACAAAACTTCCCTAAGACTATAACATTTAGGTTTTATTTGCCACCTTTGCAGTATTTGCTATCACAGTCCTACAAAAAATGTTTTACTGGGAGATAAACAAAGAACTTCCTGGCTCTAACTAACTCAGAAACAAACAGTTTAAATCCTGCACTTTCCTGTTTACCTTGTGTTTCATATTTACTTGTCATAAATGTCCATTTTTCATAATGCCTACTTATTTCAGCA